CTTTCTTTTCAAAATTTTATTTAACAATTATGAACCCTCCATATAAATTTCGTGGGGTCCATAATCAATTCATATTATTTGTATTTTCTATTTAGTAATTAATTTTATTCAAATGAAAAATCTACAAGCTCATACTGTCATACATATTATTATTTTATAAAAATTGTGCTATGTTAGTGATGAAGAAAAAAAAACATATGAATTCATTGACTGACACATAATCTTAATTATAAAAAGCACACCATACAAATACATTAAAAATCATAAAAATTAAGGTACAAACTAGTGAAACTTTTGTTATGACATGCGAAGCCTAATGCATAAAGGAGGTTCAATTTTACCAAGAGCGCTTGGATGAGATGGCTTGGGTCTCTTTTAGCTTAACTAGTGGTCTCGTGTTCGAGCCCTGGGAATGCAGCAGTGTTAAAACTCTTGAGGGAGAGTTTTGCCGCCCTTGTGGTCCTACCCGGCTCGATTCCGAATTAATCGGTTCTCCTGTAGATTCGAAAACTGGAAGGTCCCTGTACCAAAAAAAAAAGGAGGCTCAATTCAAATTACATGAGTTGAGCGAAGGAGTTCTTCCTATAAACATACAAAACCACACACATTCACTACCATTCATAGCGGGACAAAATTGTAATTTTAGTCCTATTGATTGGATTCAACGACGTTTTTAATTTTATGAATTGAACATTTTTGCTATTTGGTTCTATAATTTTAAAATTCAACACATTTTTAGACTTTCAGTCCTTTGAGACTGAAAATGCAACAAATTTTAAAATTAGAGGACTTAAATTGCTAATAAAAATCTTTTGGATGGATTTTTTTATTAGCAATTAAATCATGTAATTTTAAATTTTGTTACAATTTCAGCCCTAAAAGACTGAAAATGCAGCAAAATACTAAATTACAGGATCAAAAGACAAAAAGTTAAAATTTTTAGACTAAAATGTTACGCCGTCAAACCAACATGACTAAAAATGCAATGTTGCCTTAACAACAACTACTCGAAATTTAATCTAACTTAGCAAAAGTCAACTCTAATCGAGCTGTAAACTTATACTCAAATGTAAAAAATGTGAAACTTTTGTTGAAGTCAAATTGCAAATACAATCCAAAGGGCGTGGAATATAAGAATCCAACACGTGCACAGAGAAACGAATTTTACAGCCGATCATATGGCGAGTGTGGCGGCATCTAGCGCGATTGGACTACAATGGATTTCCTCCCCGCCTCCAGGCATGGGAGCATGGCTCGAGCATGATGTCATTGGGGTGTCATACCCACACCGAGTCTTAGCCTAGGCCTTAGGCCTCCTTCATTATACCGAAAAAAATAATTGCAAATACAATCACGAAATTGGTTTTCTCTCTCCCAAAAACGCACTTGCAAACTTTTTTTGCGTCTAATATATTATGTACTTTTCTTTACATAAAAAAGTTCTTACGTTTTATTATTTTTAAAACTAACAGAAAATACACACATATTTATAATGTGTTCTTTTTTTAATTTTTCATGGACATAATTTTTGTATATTCCATATTATTATTTTATTTTTCTCATAAATTTACCCGATGGAGTGGACACCGAAATGGCCATGTAACTAACAAAAAAAAAAAATAAATAAATAAAAAAAAATTACTATGCATACTAATTCAATACCATAATCATGAAACCAAGTATAAAAAAATTGGAAAACTATTTATATTAATATTTTTAAATAGTTTATCTATAAAATTAAAATAGAATGTTATGAAAAAAGATGGTAAAAAATTTCAAACATATGTTAATAAGTTCAATTCACTAACCATGGAAGACTTTTATCATATTTTATAATATTTATGCAAACATTTTAAAATAATTTATTTACTAATAAGACATACTTTTATATTGAGTTATAACAACTATGTAAGTTTTAATTGCGCAAATATTTGCTAAGTCAATGCAATATTTTTTTCTTGAATAGTATAATTCATATATTTAAATATTTATTTTAATTTTGTATACTTGAGAATTATTTATTTATAATTAATTATATTACATACGTTTCTATCAACCAAAATATCAGTAGAGTCTTATTTCTAAAATTGTTAAATATGTGGACAATATTAAAAAGTTGTAAAAGATACTGTGAAGGAGAATGTTTCGAGAATGTTTTTTTTTGAGTTTGAGAATAAGTTGTTGAAGAATGTATATTGTTGGAGTCATGTATCATCATATCCTGATGAAGGGAGGTAATTAATCTTTTGCATGTACCATTAATATCAAAATGTATAGTAAATATTTAGACCTTTTATAGGGGAGCCAACCTTCTATATACAACATATAAACCTACTATATAAACCTTCATAGAAAAATCGTTAAAACTACTAGTGCAGTTGTTTAAAAAAAAAAAACCAAAAGTTTTTTTTTTTTTTTTTTTTTTTTAAAAAAAACAACGAAACAAAAGATACGTGGAAGAAGGACCTAGATATTATGGACAATGAAATAACTGTCAGGCAAGATCAGGGCCGGATGTAGACTTGTAAAGCTAAGGGGACGTAACTTTTACGAAATGCCAAAAAAATAGAATAATATTATTTTAAAATCATTCTATATATTTTTTTATATTTTGCATCATTTAATAATTACATTATTTTCTATATTATTAAATTAATCTTTCTCAAACATCAAATTTATTTTTCTATCTTATGTCTTTTAATGTCTATATGCGAACTTCTGTTTATAATGTTTCTTCACAATGAAACACATAAAAGTCATATTAATTAGTAATCAATAAGTACAATTGGATTGCTTGTTTAAAATGTTATGACTGAAACTGAAAACACCTATATAAAGTATGCATGAAATTTAAAACAAAGCTTTTAGATATCTGAATTAGGATCATGACTTTTTATCAAAATACTAAAGTGGTATCACATTAATTCTTAAAATCCCTTAATATAAATATAGGTTTACAAGAACTAAAACATAAATTATAAAGTTGATAGGTGCAAGAACGGATAAATAAAAATGATAGTCGGGTTCAAGATGGGATTAAAGAATAATTAACATTTAGGTTTTTTTTTTCAATACATGATTGTGAAAAATGTATTTTTTAGATTTCCCTACATGGAGTGACTGTCTTTTAAAAATAAAAAATCTTCATAATTATTGGAATTAGAGAAAAATAAATGAACTACTAAAATCAATATTTTTAATATATAACATAAGCAAAAATTTGTATAGAATAAATACTATATTTTTTTTCTCTAATTTCTACATATATAAATACTCTTTTTTTTAATTGTACAGGGGCCCGTGCCCCTGCGGGCCCCTATTTGTGTCCGCCAATGGGCAAGACCTCGGACAGATCGGTCACTCGGGCAGGCCTTCGAGCAGTCAGGTAGAGTAAAGATTGCTCAGGAAGACAATAACTCACTATAAATAGGTAAGATGTATACAAATAAGAGTTAATGACACTTTGTACACTCTTAAGTTTTTATTATATTTCCATGCATTTTTCCATATCACCTTACTGACTTGATCGTCGGAGGTTTAACGCCGAGAAAACATCCCGTCGTCTTTGTAGGTCTCCAGTGAGCAAATCGGTTGAGGGATCTTGGAGAGTTGGTTTGAGATGCAACTTCACATCAATGCTAAGGAAACTCGATCAAGGAGATTAGATTTTGATGGATGCCAAAGCCGAGAAACGAGTTTCTCCACCGCTTTTGGTTTTGGAGGAGACGAACGGGATCTTGAGTGAATTAGTAATAAAGTATGACAGAGGATGTAAAATCCGTCGAACAAGGTACTGAAGCCTCTGATATGGAGTGGGAAAAGGGCCATCACTCGGTTCTTTATCTCAATCTTGGTAATGATTGTGAGGAAGAGATGGAATCTGATGATCCAAGTAAAAGTTTCGAAAGTTGGATCATAAATGACGAGTTCATAATCGACACAGAACAAAACTGGGTGTTTTCATGTATTTTCGACCGATGAATTTTCACAATCATGGTGAAAGTTTTAATTCTGTGGCATGTTTCAAACAGTGATGATGACACTAAATATACCAACATTATCAAGAGCCTCAGCCCCATTCCAAGCAGAAGAATAAGATGATATGACCAGTACTTTGGTACTGAATCAAATTCATCCAGAGAATGAAGAAGGCCATGAGGCTCTGAATCAAGAAAAGCTCGACAAATTTTTTCACAAATTTTACCCCCATAACTGATCAAGCAAGAGAAGCTCAATCGGAGCCTCTCCAAGACTGGGCTCCAATCGTAAGAGAAAATTTGCACTTCTTGTCGAGGCCTTTGAAAAAGTAATACCAGTAAAAAGAATGCAAACTCCTTTAGGGCCATGCACACCTGCAGCTGACATCTGTTGCAGGTACAAACAAGGAAAAGATCGAAAATGGATTCCCTTTCCACTTCAAACTTCAATGGCAACAGAGATGTTTGTGTTCGACGCTACACAAGCAAGTGCATTTACTTATTGACGAACATTTCTGGTCTTTTTACGTTTCTACGTATTTAATACATTTCAGCCAATTTTTGGTGGCCTGGAGCCAATTCTGATTACGTTAAGTTATACACAAGAATGCATACAAGAAGTGTGCCCTCCCCATTGTATATGTTTAAGGAGGAACATTACCCTTTCTCTGCCCAAATCCATTGAAGCAAAGGACAAAACTTGCTCTAATACCCTGTACATATATTATATATACACATGTATAAAAGGAAGTTAAAAGACTATCACTATCACCTTCTAACACCAACATCAACTGTACTTCTGTCTAATTCCCCAAGCCGAAACCGAGAAAAGCGGTTGATCCTGCCAGCAAATAAGGAAACAGCCATTCTCCTCTCTCACTCTATATGCATCAAAGTTAAAACTCTGCAACAATATCCTAGCCTGCACCATAACACCGTAGCTCAACGGCACCTTACTAAAACCGACCAACTCGAGCTTACGAACCCATTTCTCAAGCTTCTCGTGTCTCGTTTTCCTATCCACACCTTCACACGCTATGATATTATTAATTTCCTTCCCATACACCATCTTCTCAATCTTCTGGCGCTCTAAAGACTCAACGGGCAGAGTAGACTCCAAACAATCAAAGAGGGCACCATAAAAATTCAGTGCCTCCATGACTCTATCCATCAAATTCGACCCGTTGTGATTCGATTCTTGTTCGGTCACCATCACGATTTTCGGAGAGAGACCCAAAAGCGCGTTCAGAAAGCCCGTCATTTTTGGATCATCACCCAGAGTTAACGGGTTTAAACTTAACACATCTTGAATGTCATCAGAAGAAGCCAGAAGAGAATGCAGCCGTAATACCGAACTCACGGCAACAGCTTCTCCAGACTTGACGTGCAAGCTATCGAAATCGAGACTTTCCAGTTGGCAAACTACAGGATTAAACTGAAAGGGGATATCCAATTTCTCGGCTTCCTCGTTCAACCGGAACGCAACTCGGTCCAAAACCCCTTTGTTCTCTTGGAGGCCCGTGATCTTGAGGTGGGGCGGGCCCTCGGACCGGGTGCACAGAGCCCGGATGAGCCCGACCCACTGGGAAGGCTCGAAGCAGTCAAGGTCCACCACGTGAACAACCCTCTCACCCTCCATGGCCTCCAGAATTGCCTGGTTTGTGATTACGTGCGAGACCTTCAGAAAGGGGCAGAGATCGAAAAACAGCCTCCGGGCATGAATCTCCTCCTCAGAAGAAGTGCTACGGGCCGAAGTGAGGGCACGGTGCAGCCCGGGCCAGCTTCTGAGCATACGATCAGCAAGGGCCTCAGCAAAATGGGACGAAAACCTCTGCATCGTGTCGCCATTAATGGAGGCGAGACGGGAAATGTAGTCGAGGCTCACGTCAGCGTTTTCGAGGTTGTTACAGGCCACGTGATTGGCGCACGCAATAAGAAGGTGAACGAGACAGAGGCCTCTCTCCTCGGATCTCATCTCACTGGTCGAAAGGGACAATATGTGCAGAGGGAATGGGGTTGAAGAGGATGATGAGCCATCTTCCGGGACCATTTCTTCATGCGAATAAAGGCGAAAACATGAGTTATGTCATGCTACTGTCAACAATATAACAAAAATTGGGCATTTTTTTTAGATACTGATCAAAACAAGCACAGAACAAAATCAAGAAACTCACAACCACCTGCAACAAACAGTAGAGAGCCAACTTCTTGAATCAAACCCAAAAAATAAAAAAACCCAAATTTTCCAAAATGGGTTTTTTTTTTTCAATTATAAGCTCGAAAACCCACAGTAAGTCCCTGCAAAAAAAATACCAAGAGAGAAGAACCGGCCATTAAAGAACATACTCGTCTTGAAGGACATCTCCATGAATGGTTTTCGTGTGTGCTGACAAATCGAAGCGGTAGTTTTTTTTTACCCTTTTTAGCGGTTGGTGATAATTTGGTGAAATCCAGAGACTACCCGCCCGAATTAAGTGTTCGATTATCCGAGAAAATTCGTCGTTTGTCCCTATCCGAGAAAATTCGCCAAACAAAACAAAATCCAAACAAGTATTGTGTGACCAAAACAAAACAAAAAGTCACCTTGGATTGTTGCTGAGTGCAGGGGCGAAGCCAGGAAATTTTGGTTGATGGGGTCGGGGGGTCTTACACGGTGTCTTATATAGATTCGTCCCTGCTGTCGGGGTCTTATTATTTTTTTAATGGGGTCTTACACTGTGAAAAAATTTTGGTTGATGGGGTCGGGGGGTCTTACACGGTGTCTTATATAGATCCGCCCCCACTGCCGGGGTCTTATTATTTTTTTAATGGGGTCTTACACTGTGAAATTGTGTTACGTACAAGTGGTTCAACACAAAGCGTCGGTGTCGGACGACCCCACCAGTACATGTAGCTTCGCCACTGGCTGAGTGGGTGGGTGCGAATTGTGATGGTGAGTGTTGCAATGAAAACAAGAGACTGTCAGCTTTTTAAGTTGTTACATAAAGGTGGCGAGTTTTGTCTATACAACATGTATGCTAGTACTATTCCCCGTATACTACACGAGTGATAAATTAAAAAGTATATGATAAAAGTTATTGCTAAATTAATTTTATATTTAAAAGTTTTGATGGATTAATTGATGAAAAAAAAGGAATAGCATTGCATAAAGTAATTTGGAAATTGTAATTTAAGAGAGAAATATGAGAGGAAATTATAATATGGTAAGACTGTTATTTGCTCAAACTAAGAAGAAAATGTATACTAAGAGAAAAAAAAAAGTAACAAAAATGACTATATATTTTATCAAGTTTGAAAAAAGTTATTTATGTCTAATACTAAGCCTTACTCCAGAGCAAAAATGTATATATAAACAACATTACGAAGCATAGATTTTTTGTCATGTTAGCATACGAAGAATGATAATCTGTCACTTAGGCTCAACATCTTTTAAAATAATATATAAAGAGAGATTTTTTTTTGTCATATGTCATCAATCATAGCACCGACATAATAAATACAGACAGGTATTTTTTACGACTCATTATACGTACTCTTTTTTTTTTAACCATTGCTCTATAAAAAAAATCTTTTTTCATTTCGCAAGACATGAAATGTTATGCGAAGTTATAATAACATATCCAACTTGGTAATAATTTTGCGAGATTTCGTCGAATATCCAAATTGGACACGTAGTTAATAATTGTGTGGAACACTTTCGCATATTTTTAATTACATATTCAAAACCATATCATAATTTATGATATTCAAAGCTATTTTTATATTAGTTATCTCATATTCAAGTCGATCGGCGCATAATTTGTGATTATGCGTCATGCTTTCGCATCATTTACGA